GGCCTTTGGGTCACTGGGCCAGGGGGTAAGCAGCAGCCCTGGAGGTTGGGATTCCCAGTAAACCCCACTCTATCTGTGGTCACTGCAAGAAAAATGAGAAAAGAAATCTGGGAAAAGCCCTCAGGTTAAGTGCAATAAGCAAAGATTGGACTGTGGACCCAACTTACCTGGGACAAGGATACCACACTGTTGTCCTCATTGATGGCTTCATCAACAATTAACCGATTGGGACGGTTCTTCTGTTTAAGGATGGCTGTTGATAAATCATCACCTTTTGAACTAGAAAGAGAAAATGAAGTCAGTTCCAAAACATATTCCAGCAAGGGCCCCACCAGTCTCTACCAGCAACTCTTGGTATTCTGAGTACTGGTATCCTAGCTGTAAGGCCCCAGGTGATCTTGCCCCAGGGTCAGGAAACTAAGAAAACAAAATAAAAGTGGAGACTGAGCAGTATTTAGCAAAATGAAAATAGTCTCAGACAGTATAGAATAGTGATTAAGAAAAGGGGCTCTGCAGTCAGACCTGTTGGGTCTGAATCCCAACCCTGCCACTTAACTGTGATCTCGGGCATGTTATTTAACCTGTCTGGAGGTTGATGTCCTCTTCTGTAAAATGGGGACTATAGTAGCACCCATCTCAGAGGATTACTGTCTTAAGCAAGATAATGTATACAAGTTCAACACAACGCCTGACATATGGTATCAACGGTCAGAATGATTAGCACTGCAGAACATAGCACAAGCTCCTTCCTTGCTAACCTTCTTGCAGAAGGAAGCAAGCAAGACAATCTCCCATAGGGCTCAGGGAGGCCCCAAGCCCCACAGAGCAAGCCTGGAACAATGAAGAATCATTAGAATTACCCTTCTTACTGGCTAAACCTGCTGATTTTAGTGAGATGAACTGGTTAAGTCAAACTCCATAGGATCTCAGTTTCCTCATCTGTTAAATGGAAATGCCTTGTTTTCCTTCAAAAAAAAAACACAAAACACTAAAACATCTGGAACCTTCATCAGAAAGAAGCTCAAGCTCAAAAGGAATCTCAGAAACCTCTGCAAAGACACAAAACTCCATGGGGTTGGTTCAAAAAGTTAAAACCAAGAAATGCTGAGACATGGGGCAAAGCCAAATCCCTCTCACACAAATCAAGGTTGCCTGAGTCTGAACTGAGTTTAAACTATCTAAATAGTTTCTACCATTTCCTAGAAGCTAAGATCATTCATCCGACACCAATTTCTCACTTAGCTCATCTCCAGCCTTCACTAACTAGACTCAGTGGGCTCTCCCTCTGAAGAGCTACCTCCTCTTAGTAAGGCTCAGGAAAACATGAGCATTAACCAAAATAAGAGGGCCAGACAATGGAAGAAGCCAAGAAATAAATAAAAAGGAACCTTTTCCACGGATTATTTCTTCACTCAACAAATTCACGTGTGTGTGTGTGTGTGTGTGTATACATATACATAAAAAATACGTCAGACATAGTTCTAAGCATCTATCAGTCAACAAAAGAAGACAAAAAAGTATTCCTATTGGAAATACCTTCACAACTTGCAAGAAAAAAGATGCCTATGCTCTAGAATACCAGCTAGGGAGTTACAGGATTTTTTTACATCTTTTGGTCCTGATACACTCAAAAGAAATACAAATCCCATTCATCTAAAAAAGTTGTAAGTTTTCTGCTGACCCTCTCACATAGGCTGCATCTTTATTCATTCCCTTTAAACTAGTTTCCAAGAGTGGAGTTTCCTTAGGTTTAAACTTGCCTCCCCCAACCCCAAAGTGGTGGTCACAATGCTGCATACTCTTCCAATGCTTATCAACACCCTAGAAAGCAACCATGGTCAATATGAGAGTTAAGGGCAATTTAAATCCATCCATTCTCCCTCTCCCCTATGCATTAAAATACCCTTCAAGGGCTGCCCATCTTCCCGTTTGATGTATAGGACCAGGGCTAGAGAAAAACAAAATGCCAGATGCCTCTAGTCATCAGTTTGTATTTTAACTCCAAAGCTGCATCCTAGGAAAACCTCCAATCTGCCTACCATTCCTGACCCCAGCACTGGAGATGAGTGGGATGCTTTTCCCTTAAAGGAAGGACCTTTAATTCCACATCTATCTACTGAGATCAAAGGAAGTAATCTCTAAATGAGGGAATTCAGTTTGATCATGGGCCAAGAGCAGTCCCGGAGGCTCTCTGGGGACATCCCACTGGTCTTATGCATGAGTCAGGCCCTTTCCAGAACCCCAATGGGCCACAGGGGACTTGGACAGAGTTCAGGTAAGTGATCAAGATGACCTAGAGATCAGAAACTGTCTATGATGCCAGGTTCCAAGAATTTTGGACTTTTAGTCTTGGAAACTAAAGACTAAGAGACTACTTTAATTCTTTATTAAGCAGTCTTTTAAATAGGCACCTGAGTAATACTTCATCTCAATTCAGAAACTTGAGAAAAAGGAACACATCTCAAAAAAAACCTAAACTCTCAAGTCAGGAAGGTGATTTGCACAGAAGGGTTTCCATAGGATGAGGGTGTCTTCCCCCTGCCCCCCCCCCACCAGTATCTAAAGCTCTTAATTCTAAAATAGGTAGAGGTGGCCAGGTTTTATCCGATGCTTTCCTGAGTAGAGGGCCCAAGATTTCTCAACATAACTGCTTAGGGAAAGGAACGTGTGTCTTTGACTAGTTAAGGCATCTTTAACTCTCACACCTCAAAGGCTGAAATCTAGAAAGCTCACAAAATACGAACTGAAGTTTGAATTTTAGCAAGAACCTAATGAACCTCATTTCACAACATCAAGGAAAACTGACTAAAGCCTTCTCGTATGAATAACAACAGGCCTAAAGTATGAAGGCGGCCAGATGCGAAAGGCTGGGCCCGCCTCTCCCAAACAGCCTCTCAACACTCAGGTCGTAGACGATGCAAACCACAAGCCCGGCCGAGCCGGCTCTAAAAGTGGCCGTCGTGATCTTCCCTGAGCTCGCCAGGCCTTCCCCTGCTCCGGCCTCCGCCTCGGTCTCCGGGCTCCTAAGGCCTTCACGTGGCCCAAAGTCCACGCCCACCGGGCGCAGTTAGGGCGTTGGGCCCGTGGGGCCTTCACTCTCTGGGGACCAAAGGCCTAGAGCGGGTGGCAGGCCGGATTGCAGGTGGGCGCCCCCAGGCCCCGGGGCGCCGCGACAGCAGTGTGGGCCCGCAGACCTCACTAGGCCGGGACGGCCGCCCAGAGGAGCCAGTCATGCCGGCCCGGGCCTGCATGACACAGCACGATCTGGCCCAGGCCCCGACCCAGGCCCAACGCAAGCCCCGCCTAGGGGGCGCGCGGGGGCGCAGCCGGGCCCAGATGGGTCCGCGGCTCCTCATTAGTCCCCTTGCTCTCCTTTCCTCTCCCTCCTTCCCTGTCTCCACCTCCTAGACGCGCCCACAGCCAGGCCCAGCCGGGCCTACCCAGCGCAGCGGGTCAGTCGGTGCGCGCACCCGCGGCGGGCGGACGGGTGCGCGCACACACTCACTCAGCTCCGGAGGCCATGGCGCGCGCCTCTCCCGGCCGGCGGCTGTGGCGGCCCGTGGGTAACGGCTACAAGGGGTGGCAGGCGACCGACTGGGTCGAGGCTTGGTTCTCCCGGGCGGAGGACAAGCGGAGCGACAAACCCGCAGACGGCCTCCCTCTTGCTTCCTCCCAGCGGCACCGGGGCGGTGGGCGGGCGGGCGGGAGACGCTGACGCCTGATCCGCGAGGGGGCAGCGGCAGCAACCACCCAAACGACGGCTCCAGACGCTTCGCTAAGACTGAGCCGAGAAGAGCCGAATCATCGGAAGGAGAGGCGCTCTCACCTCAGCCAATCAGCGCCTGCCCTGGGACTCCCTCCCGCCTCTCCGCGCCTCTCCGCAGCAACCCGCGGACCGAAGCCAATCAGGAAATTCGCTTGCTACCCAGCTCCCGCCTCAGGGATGCATCACGCCTAGTAACGCCACGGCAATTGGCCGCAACGCTACGCTTCCTCGACGGATTGGGATTCTCGACCAATCAACGAAAGGAAGAGGGCCAGATCGACTGGCGAAAGGAGAGGCTTTATCCCTAAGAGGCAGGCTCTCCCACTTGGCTCCAGAGCTTATCCTGCTGGAAAAACCTGGCACAATGGATTGAACCCTTGTATTAGTCTAGTCCTGTTGTAGTGATAACCTACACACCCATCTTCTCCCAAAACCTGAGTCTCCACCCTAACCCCTCTCCTTGCTCCTTCAATACGCTGGCTCCAGCCATCTCTATTCTGGACTTTTTGACTAGCACCCCAGCTCTTAATCCACTCTACTTTATTGTCATTGCACCCTTTGGTAATCCTAATCCCATAGGCTTTACAGTTCCTCAGGGCTTGGAGATATATGCTTCCTCTTACCACCAGGTATTAATATTTATGGCTAAACGAGGGAGGGCAGTCAAGTCCAGAGAGGAGTCAGTAGGCAACTACAGAACACACAGCGGATTCAACAGAGCCCGAAGCAGCAAGAAAATTGTACGCTGAGACTTGAAGTCCTTGGGCCCAAAATGCCAGCTAGCCCTGACTATATTCAATAGGCAGCTTTGGGGGCCTGTTGACTGAATTAACCCTTCACCCCCTATCCACACAGACACATTTGACTGAGACAGTGGAAATCCAAATCTGGGATGAGGGAGGGGGTGGGGAGTCATTCTAAGAGACTCAGAGGTCTGCTTGTCTCTCTGCTCTAAGAATCAGATACTTGCCCTCTCCTGAGGGCACCACCTTCCAGACCTAACTCGACTCATTCTGTCACCTCACAAAGGATCCTGGGCTTTGGGGTTTTACTTTTAGGCAACAAGGACTAAAGGCAGTGCCACCTGAATAAGGATTCCTGTAGCCCTTTCTCCTGAGGCTCATAAGGTAGATGATGTTGGGAGAAGGTGTCATAGACAACCAGCACTCAACTGAATCAGACAGCTTTGTCTTCCCACTCAAGTGTATGTAGTAGGCAGACAAGAGATAGGCATGAAATTTTACTCAACACATGAAAAAAGAAACAGGAAAAAAGGTGCTATGAGCAAAGTCAATGCCTTGTTGGTGGAAGGGGGGCTTCTTCTGAAACCAGACAGCAATAACCAGACCAAATTTTGAAGAACTACCACCAGCCTCTCCAATGCCAGACTTATATTGGAATGGTCAGCTCCAGCCATGTTCCTCAAGGACGGTATAGCAGAAAGCCCTCCCCACAGATGGCCCCGAGGCCCCAGCTCAGGTTCTTTGAAACGCTGGCAGCTACAGGTCACAAGTCTCCAGCAGAGACGTCCGAAATTCCTCAAGAAGGGTTTCACGGTCAGGGGGATGGATCCAGCCCAAACAGGTTTCTAGGTACAGGGGGAGAGACCTGAAAGCAAAAAGGGTGATGTCTAAGGGAGGACAGGCAAAAGACTACACAGCCATTTCCTCCCTTTCATTCACCACCACTCCCAATAGGCCCAAGGACTCCAGGACGCCAGCTGCCTCTCAACCTCACCATGCAGCATTCTCCTGTGGCAACTCAGTTTGGGCCTCCAGCCTCCGCCAGAGAGCAGTGGCCTCATCCCTCCGATCCAGCCTCCTCAGAGTCTGAAGCAGGTGAAAGGAAGCGTCTTGATTACCTGTAGCCCAACCCCAGAGTAGAGAGCCTTAGAACTTGACAGACTTAAGCATCATTTTATAAAAGGGAAAACTAAGGCCTAGAACAGGGAAGTGTCTTGCCTACATGGTACCAGGGGTACATCACTGCCAACCATGCCTATCCCTGGGCACTGCCTGCCCAGGACAAAGGGCCCAGCTGACCCTGCTCCTGCCCAACACATTCTCAGCACAGTTATGGTCTCTGTGTCTAAAGACACTGGGAAGCCTAGAGAACTCCTGAGAGGCCTTCATACACACTTGTATATGTCTTGCATATGTCTGCACACCTGGATATATCCCTATGTATATACAGGCACAACCCCATTCACCCCTCCTATCAAGGAACATCACTCTTACACTAATCCCCAAGTACCTCCCCCACAGCCCTCTCTGTCCTTATGCATCTGTGCATAGCTGATGTCTTGCACATGTACATACCTGGGCACACCTGCACACTGAGAAGGAAGTCCTGTAGGGCTTTGGTATCCTGGCCACTGGCCACCCATTCCAGTCCACGGCTAATCAGGGCGGCTGCCCGAAGCTGTTGTAGTGCCACATCTGATGTACACCCCTGCTCACAGCTGGAAGCAGGCCCTGGGGACCACTCCCAAAGTCAAGACATGTGTTCCCAGCCACACTGTCACCAACACCTCAAGTCTCCTCTCTATCTCTTGTGTTTGGAGTCCCTTTATCTTAAATCTCCTGGTGGGCTAGGACACATGGAAAGGAAGCCACCACCACCACAGAGGAAAACTGAGAGTCTAGATCACCTTGTTCTTTACCCATGGGTGTGGCCTGGAAGAGCAGCTCAAGGCACCTGAAGTGGGACACAGAGCAGGGGTAAAAATGAGTCAATCTCAGAAACTCTAGGGTGAGTAGATAAGAATGGAGCTCACCAACTCAGGTCCCAATTAGAAAATTATCCCTCCACATTTCCCAGAGGGTCCTGGTTGGCTTCCTGGGCTCACCGGCTAAATTCACTAATTGCCTCCTTTTGGGCCCCCAGTTGCACCCAAGCGTGGCCCTGAAGCAGATAGGTGGCAGAGACCCAGGGTGAGCAGTGTGGTAACTCTTTGGTCCCTCTTCTGGCATCTTCCCACAGCCGGGGCCTCTTGGGATGCAGGGATGACATGCGGCTAAGCAGCTCCTCACACACGGTCAAAGCATCTTGGGCTCGGCCTGCCTGAATCAGCGCTGCTGCTGCCTCCAAGAACACCTCAGGCACACAGGGCCCTGGGGGGCATGGGGGTGGGGAGAACTGGGGTGGGAGGAGAATGCAGTGTCTTGAAGAGACATGAGCCACCACCCCCAACCTCTTCACCAGGCTCTGGTATCATGCAGAGACCACCCATTGCTTGCTGCCTGGATCCCCCTTGCTCTGGGAACCTTCCCAGTCTGGTGCCCCAGATTGGACAGAAAGAACAGCAGAGGAAAAGTCAGAAAAAAGCAGTCCTGCTCTACTCCAAAGAAGACTCCAACCCTCCCACCCCATTGCAGAGAAACATGACATACCCACCTTTGGCTCCGAGCCATCCAGCAACAGGGCCAGCAGGTCCAGGTAATGTTCTGCAGCATTCTCTGCCCTGAAGAGTCATAACCCGTGAGCCTCACCTTAGGCCACAGCAGGGCACTCCAAAGGCTTTTAGCTAAGGGGACTGGGGTGCGGAGAGGGCGAGGTTTGGGGACTCCAACACTGGGGCTCAGTATGGATCTCTACTACTTACAGACTGGATTTGGGAGAAGACTTTAGAGTTTTCAAGATACACGAGGTTAGTGTCTGGGTAAAGAATCCTCAGTTCAGGTCCAGCAGCAAGGCAGGAAGCTGAGAGTGGGGACCCATGTCCTGCCCCTGACTTGTCCATTCCCCCCAACTCGTAAGAACAGAAGCAGAGTCACAGCACAGGGGAGGCGTCAGAAGTGGGAAGAGGAGCTCAGGTGAGCAAAGTGAACCTCACCTTCCCATCTGTAGGCATCGGCTTGCCAGCAGGTACTTGGCCTGACTCTGTGTGCCACAGTGAAGGGGTGAGGCTGGGTCAGGTCGTGGGAGTAGTAACTCTACCTCAATGAGAAGCTGTGGGGCTTCAGGGATATGAGCGACACTCAAGGCCTAGAGAGAACAAAAAGAAGAACGTATATCTATAATCTCTGGGAACCATACTTCCTTCTACTTATACCTTGACTAGTTACCCTAACACAAGCATCTCAGCAGTTTCCGTATCTTCGCCCGACACAGTTCCTTACCTCAACCAGCAGCTCCAGACACTCAATCTCTGCTGCCGTGTTCTCCAGTTGCCGATACAGCCTGGAGGCCTCCAGAAGCGGGGGACCCCAGGTTGATTCCCCTTTCAGGGCTGCAACCAAGTACAGCAGAGCTCTCTGTGGACTGCCCTAGAGGGGTGAGAGGACACAAGCCTCAGCTACCCTCACAAAGTAGAAAGCTGCTACTAACACCCTTGGTTTCCCCAACCCACCCTAAGACTGTCTTTACCATCTTACGAAGACAGGTCCCCAGGGCTGTGTACACCTGGACCAACACAGGCCGTGGGCACAGACCTGAGGCCGCTTCATGCAGGCTGCTCAGTGCCCTGGGCAGGTTCCCTGTGATCAGCTCCCGGAGACCTGTGGGCAACCAGGGTGTGAGCTTAGAGAGGCCAATAGGGCAGGGGGCATGATGGGAAAGAAGAGCACAGAGAAGCTCTACTGAGCTGACGGGTAGAGGATAGAGAAGACATGAGCCCAGAGGACCCCTTAAGACAGGGAGTGGGGAGGAAGGGACAAGTCAGATTGCTAGCTGGCCTTGGCGATAAGCAAATGCTGTCAGAAGGACACCCCTCAAGTTCTGGGCATCCTGCAGGGTCAACGGAGCATCTGACTCCTCAGCTGGGGGCCTCCAAGTTTTCAGGAGCAGCAGCAGATCCTCAGAGGCTCTGCTCTGGGGAAAGAAGGATGATTAGAGGTTCCAAACCTGTAACTACCCCTTCACCTATCTCAGTCCACCCTGGCTGGACTTTGAACTTAAGGATCCTCCTGATTCTTGTTCCCTCAATTCTAAGAGATCGATAGCTGTGGGTCAAGGATAAAGGGACGAAGAAAAACCTGGGGCAGAGATGACCTATTTTAATGAGTCTCCTCACTCAGGATAAGCCCACGAGGACACAGGGCAACGACCATGTTTGGGTTACTGATGAAAAGACTGAGACTGGGAGGTGACTTCAGCAAGGTCATGAGAGCTCTAATTCTACCCAAGATAATCAAGCTTCCAAGAGAATCCCTCCAATGAGGAACAAACCAGAGCAAGGTCACCTAAGAGTCCCTGAGAGAACCTGGGTCTTCTGAACACGAACCCAGCAGCCTTTCCAACACATAATAATGATACTGCAGCTAGGAAGGGTGGGAGGAGGAAAGAGACCCTTAGGTCCAGATCACTACCTGAATTACCTGGCTAACGTTCAGGGTCTGCAGCAGTAAGGTCAGGTCCCCAAGACGGTCAGTGCTCAGCCAAAGGGCAGCCTGCAGGCCAGCAAGGTGGTGAAGGGCAGGGAGCAGCTCCGGCAGAAGGGAGGAAACATAGAGGACGGAGTCCCACAGCCCCCTGAGCCCATGTTCCAGCCTGGCCTTCAGCTGCTCCTGGGTCTCCAGCACTGTAGAGTATACACACACATACAGCTGAGGTGGGACCTCATCTCTGGCTTTTCTTCTCTGCAGGAGCCCAAAGGTCACAAAGGTGCTCCTGGTCCGAGGAGCACATGGAGGATCAGAGAAGGGCATCTCCATGGAGGTGACAGATTATGTTGCTCCTCCTATCCCCCTTGCAAGAACTTAAGCCCAGCCTGAGGCTGGCAGGGGCATGGAAGGCAATCTCTGGCCCTCACCTCTCTCTAGGCCCTGCTGGATATCCTGCGCCAGGTCCTCAGTGAAACCCTGGGCCAGGCTTGCCCTCAGGGTAATGAAATTGCAGATGACAGTCAGCTCCAAGGGGAGAACAGAAACAGCCGCAGGGAGCCCTGGAGCAACAAATGCTGGTCTCACAGACCACTCTCAGGTGAAAGAGATCACCCCACCCCAACCAAAATGGCCTCAATAAAGAACCCACCCTTTGGAGACTTCCCTGGTGGCGCAGTGGTTAAGAATCTGCCTGCCAATGTAGGGGACATGGGTTCGAGCCCTGGTCCGGGAGGATCCCACATGCCGAGGAGCAACTAGGCCTGTATGTCACAGCTGCTGAGCCTGCGCTCTAGAGCCTGCGTACCACAACCACTGAAGCCCACGCACCTAGAGCCCGTGCTCCATAACAAGAGAAGCCACCGCAATGAGGGGCCCGCGCACCACAACGAAGAGTGGCCCCCACTCGCTGCAACTGGAGAGGGCCCGCACGTAGCAACAAAGACCCAACGCAGCCAAAAAACTCTGGGAACCATACTTCCTTCTACTTATACCTTGACTAGTTACCCTAACACAAGCATCTCAGCAGTTTCCGTATCTTCGCCCGACACAGTTCCTTACCTCAACCAGCAGCTCCAGACACTCAATCTCTGCTGCCGTGTTCTCCAGTTGCCGATACAGCCTGGAGGCCTCCAGAAGCGGGGGACCCCAGGTTGATTCCCCTTTCAGGGCTGCAACCAAGTACAGCAGAGCTCTCTGTGGACTGCCCTAGAGGGGTGAGAGGACACAAGCCTCAGCTACCCTCACAAAGTAGAAAGCTGCTACTAACACCCTTGGTTTCCCCAACCCACCCTAAGACTGTCTTTACCATCTTACGAAGACAGGTCCCCAGGGCTGTGTACACCTGGACCAACACAGGCCGTGGGCACAGACCTGAGGCCGCTTCATGCAGGCTGCTCAGTGCCCTGGGCAGGTTCCCTGTGATCAGCTCCCGGAGACCTGTGGGCAACCAGGGTGTGAGCTTAGAGAGGCCAATAGGGCAGGGGGCATGATGGGAAAGAAGAGCACAGAGAAGCTCTACTGAGCTGACGGGTAGAGGATAGAGAAGACATGAGCCCAGAGGACCCCTTAAGACAGGGAGTGGGGAGGAAGGGACAAGTCAGATTGCTAGCTGGCCTTGGCGATAAGCAAATGCTGTCAGAAGGACACCCCTCAAGTTCTGGGCATCCTGCAGGGTCAACGGAGCATCTGACTCCTCAGCTGGGGGCCTCCAAGTTTTCAGGAGCAGCAGCAGATCCTCAGAGGCTCTGCTCTGGGGAAAGAAGGATGATTAGAGGTTCCAAACCTGTAACTACCCCTTCACCTATCTCAGTCCACCCTGGCTGGACTTTGAACTTAAGGATCCTCCTGATTCTTGTTCCCTCAATTCTAAGAGATCGATAGCTGTGGGTCAAGGATAAAGGGACGAAGAAAAACCTGGGGCAGAGATGACCTATTTTAATGAGTCTCCTCACTCAGGATAAGCCCACGAGGACACAGGGCAACGACCATGTTTGGGTTACTGATGAAAAGACTGAGACTGGGAGGTGACTTCAGCAAGGTCATGAGAGCTCTAATTCTACCCAAGATAATCAAGCTTCCAAGAGAATCCCTCCAATGAGGAACAAACCAGAGCAAGGTCACCTAAGAGTCCCTGAGAGAACCTGGGTCTTCTGAACACGAACCCAGCAGCCTTTCCAACACATAATAATGATACTGCAGCTAGGAAGGGTGGGAGGAGGAAAGAGACCCTTAGGTCCAGATCACTACCTGAATTACCTGGCTAACGTTCAGGGTCTGCAGCAGTAAGGTCAGGTCCCCAAGACGGTCAGTGCTCAGCCAAAGGGCAGCCTGCAGGCCAGCAAGGTGGTGAAGGGCAGGGAGCAGCTCCGGCAGAAGGGAGGAAACATAGAGGACGGAGTCCCACAGCCCCCTGAGCCCATGTTCCAGCCTGGCCTTCAGCTGCTCCTGGGTCTCCAGCACTGTAGAGTATACACACACATACAGCTGAGGTGGGACCTCATCTCTGGCTTTTCTTCTCTGCAGGAGCCCAAAGGTCACAAAGGTGCTCCTGGTCCGAGGAGCACATGGAGGATCAGAGAAGGGCATCTCCATGGAGGTGACAGATTATGTTGCTCCTCCTATCCCCCTTGCAAGAACTTAAGCCCAGCCTGAGGCTGGCAGGGGCATGGAAGGCAATCTCTGGCCCTCACCTCTCTCTAGGCCCTGCTGGATATCCTGCGCCAGGTCCTCAGTGAAACCCTGGGCCAGGCTTGCCCTCAGGGTAATGAAATTGCAGATGACAGTCAGCTCCAAGGGGAGAACAGAAACAGCCGCAGGGAGCCCTGGAGCAACAAATGCTGGTCTCACAGACCACTCTCAGGTGAAAGAGATCACCCCACCCCAACCAAAATGGCCTCAATAAAGAACCCACCCTTTGGAGACTTCCCTGGTGGCGCAGTGGTTAAGAATCTGCCTGCCAATGTAGGGGACATGGGTTCGAGCCCTGGTCCGGGAGGATCCCACATGCCGAGGAGCAACTAGGCCTGTATGTCACAGCTGCTGAGCCTGCGCTCTAGAGCCTGCGTACCACAACCACTGAAGCCCACGCACCTAGAGCCCGTGCTCCATAACAAGAGAAGCCACCGCAATGAGGGGCCCGCGCACCACAACGAAGAGTGGCCCCCACTCGCTGCAACTGGAGAGGGCCCGCACGTAGCAACAAAGACCCAACGCAGCCAAAAAAAGAAAAAAGAATCCACCCTTTGGAGAGAGAATTTGGAAAGGTCAGGAGGTTTTCCAAACAGACCATCCTGGAGACCACTACTTCAAATGCTGGTGTGTGTGTGTGTGTGTGTGTGTGTGCGCGCGCGCTGGTGTGTGTGTGTGTGTGTGTGTGTGTGTGTGTCCTGAGTAATCTCCTCGATCCCAGAAATGCAGAAGAGGAACTGGTCTCTGGCTGTGGAGGAGGGGAGTGACCATCCTGGGGAGGGCGCTACTTACCCTGCAGACTATGGAGGAGTCCCCGGAGCCCTTCCAGTGCATCTTGGGCCAACTGCTGTCGCCTCGGAGACAGACCTGAGTCCTGAGCAACCTAACAAATGTGGGGTGGGGTACAGTCCTTCCCTCTCCCCTTGCAGCTGTGGCAAGGGATGTCAAGCCATTTCTGGCTCTTTAGGGGAGGTCACGCTCAGCCCCTCCCCATCGGTCAGGGTAAATCCAATGCATACCCCTTTCCTGGTATTTTGAGGTTGCAAAGCGAGGGTCCCAGCAACCGCGTTACCTTGGCCTGTTGAACTAGTTGGTCATTCTTTTCCCTCCACAGGTCCAGGCAGCTGGCGTGTGAGGCTGAAGAGCCCGGAGGGGTCCGGTGAGCCATGGCGGCCGAGACTGGGCCCCGACACGTGAAGAGGGCCGCTGAAGGATAAGCCTGGCCCCTCCAACGCCCCACTGAGAGCGGAGAGGCCCACGCACTTCCGCACCCCGCCAAGGCTCCTTTGCTCCCCTCGGGCTTCCAGCCGGGTCGGCCTACCCTTTCCGGGAGAAACGGACACCCCGCTGGCTGCCTGGCGGGGCTTCTACCTCCGCCGCTTCCACCCGCGCCTCGGATTGGCCCGGCCGGCAAAATGCTCGGCTGCGGTTGGTCGTCGTCAATGGTTACTCCCCGCGGGAAACTGGAAGAAGAAACGAGTCGGGGCCAGACCTGTGGGGAAGGCAGAGGCGGGCCAGAGGCCGGGGGCGTGTCTGAGTGGGTAGGTCACACGGCTCGCCGTTCCGTTGCTCAGCCCTCGCGGAGGCCAAAGCCTTAAGTCGACCTCAAAAACCCGAAACCCGCGGCTCAGCTCTTCCCTCGCCGCCACACATCCAGGTCGGCCGGGGATTTCCCCCGCCGCGGAGGGCTGGCCCGCGCGATGCACGCTGGGAGTTGTAGTACCGCCGGGAGCCGCCACAAGAGGTCCAGCCCCAGAAGTGTCTTCAAAAAGAACTGACCTGAGACCAAAGCCCTCGGTAATCGGCCCATCCTATCTCTGCTCACCATGGAGCACCAACACGCTCACCACAGTCTGCTCAACCACATGCAGTCCGACTAGCTGGCAGCGCAGCCCTGTGCCTGTGCAGCCTGCCCTGCTCAAATATACCTGCCCAGTCCTTTCAACACATGGAGGTAGGAGAATTGGAGATCCGTACGCAAAGAAGAAACAAGCTGCGACACTTGCCATCTATAAAGTCAACTCAAAATGGATAAATTGGACTTCATTAAAATTAAAAACTCTTGTGCTACAAAGACACCATCAAGAAAATTCAAAGATGTAAGTCAAACTTTTATGCTGGACACCTTAAACTTATCCTGTGATGTAAGTCAATTATATCTCAACAAACTGGGAAAAAAAGAAAATTCAAAAATGTCAATTATACATCAATAAAAAAAGAAATAAAACTCAAAGAAAAGTCACAAAGTGGGAGAAATTATTTGCAAATCATATATGTCATCTTTCAGTGGTCTCATCTCTTCCTGTCCTGGGCACCCTCAAACCTCAAACCCCAGTCCTGACCCTTCTCAGAACCTCTTCCCCACTTCTTTGATGGATGTTTCCATGAGGATTTCATGCCAGCACTTCAACATGACACAGGAGTAGTGAGGTGGATGGAGGGCACAGGAGATGTGTGAGGAGCATTAGATTCATACAATTTTGGCTTCAAGTCAGGAATAATCAATGGGACAAGGTGTGTTAGATGGGTGAGTAGGTCTGATAAAAGGCAGCATAGGTTGGGAAACCAGGGAAGCCTCCACAGACATGAAGGGCAAAGGGTGTTCTGAAGTGAAAGGACACAATTGAGGAGGAGGAGATACAGCACTATTGGGGCTTTAGACAGTGAAAGTCTGTGTGCTCCATGATGCCTGGGTCTGTCTTTTCAGCCATCTCTGTTATCAGCCAAAACAAAGAATTTAATAAAATATGTTCCATGGCAAAGGAAAATGGCAGGTGGAATAACAGTAGTGATTTGGGAAGAGTTGGGAGAAGTGAATTCAGACAACTCCAACCACCTCCCAGAGTTCTCAGATGTGGCCAGGTCTCCATAAGACAGCTGATCCCATCTGTGCCTGGATGAGGGGAGACTGACCCTCCACATATCCCCTACAGGACAGTGGGGGCTCCCCCACACCTCAGACACACATATTTACATTATTTTATTCCACTTCGGAGGCAGCCCCTCAGTCCCTCAGATGTATCCAAAGCAGGAGTTACGGATGAGGCTCCACTATGATTTTGAATTATAAAATAATGAAGTCCCAGATGCCAGTAGATCCTGGCTGCACGGTGGTAAGAGGTGTGACTCAGCCTCTCTTGCAGATGATCCAGCACCCGTATAGACCAGGCTAGACTGTTCTCCAGCTTTCTGCTGGGCCAGAACTAACTGCCTGAACCAGGAGCTCACAGCACCATCCACTCGCATCACCAAAGCTATGCCCAGGCAAAGTCCCACGCTGCTCACAATGAAGCCCATGGCCTCAAAAATGAACCTGCAAAGAAAGGTGGAGAATCTCAAAGGACACAGACAGGAGGTCTAGAGCCTTTTCCCTGCTGAGGCAAAACCTTGTCCACTCTGAATGTTCATTGTTTGCTCCAAGCTTCATCCTCCCCCACACCAATACTTCTCAAGCAAATCCACTCACTTGGGGGCAAACACCTTCCAGACCATGAGATGCCTGCGGAGGATGGAGGCTGCCAAGGCACAGGCCAAAATCTAAGGGAAGAGAGGAGGGGTCAAGTTATTAAGGAAGAGGAGGAGGAAGCAGGTCAAATAGAGAATTGCTGCAGGTCCTTGTGAAGAATGGAAGGGGAAGGAAAGTAGTGTCACTGGAAAAAAACCCTGGCTTAGGAGTTAGGAGACCTAATTCCTTTTCTGGCCCAGCCAACGCCTTGCAGTGTGACCTTGGGCAAACACTATTCATCTGTGCCGCTGACACTCAGGCTCTGCCTCCCAGGGTGGAGGGAATATCAGAGTCAGACCTTCTGCCTCTGAAGGAAAGGAAGATCAATGATCACAGATTGGGAAAGAACCCTGGCCATCACCTCAGCGTTTCCAGTCTGTCCACTAATGGAGTAATCCCCAGATGAAACCATCAGGTCCAGACCTAGCTTGTAAAGAGGAAACAATCCAAGACTAGGATGAAGGAGACCCAGGTTCAAGTCTTAATACTGCCATTTGAGGCCACTGGCCTTTGGGCAGTCACTTCACTTATCTATACCTCAGTCAAGGCTCTCTCCTAGGGTTTTGGCAAAGTGTGAAAGAATGTGATGTACAGCATGAGAAAAGATTACTAACTCCATGATCTCTCCCCTGCACCCACCTGAATACCAAGGACAAAGAGGTACTTGAGGCCCAGCTGCAGCAGCGCTGCATTGAAGTGGTGAGGAGCGTCCCGGAGCCGCATCTCCATCAGTGGCTCCTCCTCCTCCTCAGGCCTGACTCTGGTTTCAGCTTCATTCCCTGGGGGCTGCCGCCTCTTCCGGGGCCCTTGACTCTCACAGAGAAAGGGCCAGAGCAGGAGCAATGGGCAACCTACTGCCTCAGAGGAAGGCAGGGCTAGAATCAATGGAGGACCCAGGGACCAGGCCACCCTGGCCCCCAACTACCCTAGTTGGCTCAGCCTCCAATTAGCAAAGGCCAAGGGGTGCCAAAGATCTAAAAAATCACATTTCCCCACTCAAATCCTGGGGTTTCCTTTCCTTCCACGAAGCCAGAGTAAACAATGGAAGCAAGGGAGGAATGAGGAGGTACCTGCAAAGAGGATATGGGAGGCAAAGGTGTTGGTTCCCACCAGCAAAGCAGACAGCCAGGTAAAGTCATGGCCCTCTGGGACTCCCACGAAGGCAGCATGCCAATGGATAGCTGGAAAGACGGGCTGGTGACCCGTGGAATAGAAGGTCTGTGTTGCCATGAAGGCCCAAGCAGAGACTGCCTGCCAAGGCACAGTAAAAGGACCTGGGAGAAGAGATACACCTCTTTACAGTCACATCCCACTCCCTAACCCACAGCCCACTGCCCCAAGATCATATACACCTACTATCTCAGTGCTGTCTCTTACACATGAGCATGCCCATCACTCCAAGCTTCTAATAGTCAACACTCTGTTATTCTAATTCCCTCCGTGGCACAAAGCCCCACTGCTCTAATCTGTGGTCAACCTCTTTCTCTCATATACACACAGCTCACTATGAGTGGTGAATATACTCGTAATTCACCACTCTCATCACTGGAGAATCAGGAAATGCGCTCAAGAGGATGTAACATTTCCATAAGAATTGAGTCTTGGAGTACTGTTTGTCTCCCTCCTCCATGAACCCTGCTGGCCCTGAAAGCCAATGGGAGGGATCAATTAGCTTGGCTACAGCAGATAAGAGACAGGACATCAGGAAGACCCTCTCAACTGTTGGGGCGTGAGACCCTGTATCAAGGTGAAGAACCTGAGGAGCAACACCTCCCTGAAAATAAGAGGGGCTGAATTCACATCACTACTGTCCTTGGATGAATCAGGGCTGAGATATGTATTTACCAGGGGTGGTGATGGGTATCCCAGCAGCAAGCAGATGCAGGAGAAGGAAGCTCTGCAGAAACAGAAGCAGGAACACAAGGCTAATGCGCTCTGCATGCAATAGCAGAAGTGGAAAGGCCAAGAGGGTGAGGGCCGTGACCATAGCAGCTGAGTAGACACTCCCCAACTGATAGGCGGCCACCGTCAGGGGGCCCTGAGACTTGGTCCTCTCTAGCCGGCCCCGGAACTCCTCCTGCATGTGTCGGTAGATTTGAGGAACCACATAATGCAGGTCAGCCTGAGAAGTGGGGGGGCCTGAGAAGGGAGTGAGGACAGTCCTGGTCCGTGGAGCACCCGCCGCAGCTTTCACCAGCACCGTCACAGGCCTCCAGAGCAGCAGCATGAGCCCTGAAGCAGCCAACCCGGCCACAGCCCTAGGTAACATAACTGATGCCCCAGCAACCAGGGCCCGGAGACGTGGGGGTGCTTCATCCGCCCCTGATGCCAAGGCCCAGTAGGCGGCAGTGCCTAGTCCCATTAGCGGCAGCCCCCAGCGCACAAAGAGCACAGGGGGCTCAGGGCTCTTGAGATTACCATAGCGGCGAAGCCACAGGCGCACGGCAGCTAACAGGGCCGCCAGCGCCCCCACACAAGCTCCATACCACACATTCTTGGCTCGACCACCCACCATGGATGCCAGGGGACTCAGCCAGGGAGAGGAGCTGCAAGCAGGCGTCTCTTCAGGGCAGCGATGAAAAAGCCCAGCTAGCCTTATACATAAAAGCAACCCAACTCCAAGCCCCAGGGCATGCGTGCCATTGTGACGTGGGGGGCCTGCTGGGGTCAGAAAGCCAAAGCGAGGTATTGTGAGTAGCTTAGGTGGCAGCAGCTTGCCCTCCCAGTGAAGCTGGGCAACCAGGAGCAAGATGAGTGAGATCAAAAGGAAGGGGGCGGCCCTGGCCTCGGCTATAACAAAGCTATCAGAGAAGAAACCAGCAAAGCGAATGAGCAGGAGTAATAGGACAGGCCCAGGCATGGGAAGCAGGGCTGCCAGGGGCCTCTTAGCTCCCCAGCCAGCCCAGGCTTTCCACAGAAAAGGCAGAAGTGAGGCCACTGCAGCCATGGCCCCTAGAACCACTGAATCCAGCTTCAGCCCAGTAGTTGCCAGGAGTCCAGCACACACTACGGCCCCAGTCAAACCCCAGGCCATGGGTATTAGGAGAGGGCGGAAATAGAAGCCTGGGGATGCTGCCCACTGGGATACCAGTAGGCAAAGAAAGCAGGTAGCAGCCAAGAGAGCAGCACCCCCTGCCATGCGGACCAGAGAAAAACGAGCCCAAGACTCAATGCACATGGCCCGAACTCCCCGCAGGAACTGCTGCAGCTCAGTAATCACAGTCTGTAGTGCTGCCTCAGCCCCCTGGGGGCTCTGCAGAAGCCGCTGGTAGTCAGCAGAAGCTTTGGAGAAGAGGTTCTGTAGTCGATGAAGCTCCTTAACTTGGAGGTCCTGAGCAGCAGTTGAGTAGGTGTGAAGAAATCGGGACACCTGGCAGAAAAGATCAGAGACCAAGGGGAAAAGCTCAGAGACGTGAACTGGGACACAGACAAGGACAAGTATTACCATATGGGGTACCTAGAAATCAGGGACCCAAACTCCGTCCAGGACAGGGAGAGAGGGCGTACTTGGCTATGGAATGTGATATTAAGACTGAACAAAGGACAACAGAGCGGGTCATTATGCTTCTCCCATGCTCAACCTAACTCTGTCACCTGAAGCCCAGCCCATTACCTACCTGCTGGGCATTGAGATGGAGAGCTGAGGCTTGGGCTAGAGTAGAAGAGTGAGGCTGGGAGTCTTCAACCTCTGAGAACACCTCAGCTATCACCTCCCCGATGTTCCCAAATGGGATGGGCAGGCCCAGCAGCAGGGCCAGCGTAGGCACAAGGCTGATTTGAGGAATTACCTCTGGCTCCTAGAGAACAAGGACAGGGGTCAACGGGTTCAACAAAAAGCTGAGGTCAGTGTTTAGGATGGAAGACATAGGGGCCCAGGTAGGAAATAAGAATGGGGGATGCCCAGGGTTATGAATTTGGGGGCTTAAAATGGAGGGATCCACAAGGATGCTACGATTATGATGTGGATTGAATAGCGGAAAAACCACACAAAGCACACCTCAGGCCTCACCTCTGGTGGGGCGCTGGGGAAGAGGGCTGTGGGACTATACAGAAAAAGTGCAGCTGAGGTCTCCAGCTCACTGTCCCCTCCATGGTTCCCACTCGTGGTCATCCCATGGTCCCCAGTCACTACCAGCAGTGTGTCATTCTCCAGACGCTCCACGAGTCCCCTGGGGGCCAAGAAATGTGTCAGAAGGTAGGGATAGATTGTTCTCAGGGACTTCCCTGGTGACGCAGTGGTTAAGAATCCACCTGCCAATGCAGGGGATACGGGTTCGAGCCCTGGTCCGGGAAGATCCCACGGGCCACAGAGCAACTAAGCCCACGCGCCACAACTACTGAGCCTGTGCTCTAGGGCCCACAAGCCACAACTACTGAAGCCCACGTGCCTAGAACCCGTGCTCCACAACAAGAGAAGCCACCGCAATGAGAAGCCCGCACACCACAATGAAGAGTAGCCCCTGCTTGCCGCAACTAGAGAAAGCCCGCGTGCAGCAATGAAGACCCAACGCAGCCAAAAATAAATAAATTAATTAATTAAAAAAAGATTTTTCTCAGGGGCCCATTCACCCCCAGCCATAACTTCCACTAGTAGGGCCTAGACCTCTGGCAAAAAAACACTTCTTCGGTCATAACCCTACTGCCCAAAATCACATGCTAAGTTACTCAAAACGGATGAGGCCCCTAGCTTCAGAAAAAGGCCTAGAGAAGACAGAATTCAGCCAAGTAAAAGTTCCAGATAAAGATTTTTTTCTCTTGGGACCATATATTATGAGATTCTCAGACACAAACCCACTCCCCCAGCCAATATCCCACACTCACTGGATCACTTGGTCCATTTGGCTAAGTTTCTTGGCCATTTCAGGATGATGAGGGCCATGCTTGTGGCCACAGTGATCCACACCCAGGAAGTGAGTAATCAGCACATCCCATTCACCACTGTCCACTGTGAAGGAGAGAACCTGAGCACAGGGGACTAAGGCCCACTCCTCAACCCCAGCCAGGCTCTGATGCTCCTATGTCCAGGGGCACAAGCCCAGGCCACTGCATCCATGGGAGGTTCAGAATTTGTGGACTGACGTAGCCCTCCCCAGCTCCCAGTCTTAGTCAGGCCTGCCTCTGGCCCCGTGCTCACTGGTTGGGTAGAGGTGTTCCAGGATACCATTGTCCACTGTGTGTAGGTCTCTAACATCGAAGGACGGGAAAAAGAAAGCTTGGGAGAAAGCTCCAGGAAAAAGATCGTTCCAGGTTTCATCTCCCATGAAGACCACACGCCTTCCTGCAGGGACATGAGTGGGTCACAGCCTGAGCAGGAGTCAGGAGAGGGGGAAGAGGAGAGGCCTTTTAAAGATCTATCAGAAATCCCAACCATGCACTATAAGGCACAGCAGTTCCATCCAACAACTCTTTATCCTTCAAGGCCTAAAATTTTCTGCCAGGAAGCTTTCCCTGGTAACCATACTCCACCCAGACCTTTTACTACTTATTCCTATAAAAAGCTCTGCTAGTCCTCAGCCCCTGGCTACCTCTGCTGCTCTATTTTTCCTGGGTACATACTGCTTTTTCCCAGTCAGTGAGTGGACAGGGCCTGGACCCTCTGCTCTCTTCTCCACGCTTTTGAAAATACCAGACCCACATCTTCTTTTCATCTCTCCCCTGCCCCTTTACTGAGAGCTCGCCCAAAGTAAAACCAATACCCCACACAGATTAGAAATGCCAGAAGGACAGAGCCCGGACCTGAGCTCCCTGCATACAGAGCCAGGGTCTCTTTCTCCTTCCTGTACTCCTAGTCAAGCATGCAGCTGGGCACCCAAAGTTCTGGCTCTCTGATGTCTAAAGAAATTTGCCAAGGTACTCCTGGCCACCAAAGAGGCCTGACTAACCTGTACTGGTTAGCTGCTTAACGAGATTGTCTTCCGCTATGGCGTAGCTGGCAAAATTACTACCAGCGTCAATAAAGGTAGGCAGTGAGCCGGTGGTGAGGGCCTTGAGGCGCTGCATGGTGGTGGTTGGGGGGTCAACCTTGGACTGGTAGAGCCTGGCATGGTGGGGCTGAATTTCCAGGATCCTCTGCAAGAAGCCCAGTTTGCCCATGAAGGGCAGGGAGACAGGAGGCTCCCCAGAAACATGTGAGAGCTGCGGCTGGGCAAAGTCAAATCTCAGAGCGTCTATCAGCACCAACACAAGCCGGGAGAATCGGGAAGCCATCCAGCAGGCCCCGGGCTCCCCTCGGCTCCCCCATGGCAGGGACCCAGGGCCTGGGGGCTCTTGGCAGCTGCTATGGTTGGTGAGCTCCAAACGGGTGAGCAGGAAGCCACTGGTGAAGAGAGCAATGCCGGCGTAGAAGAGGAAGCCCACCCAGGCCAGGAAGAGCAGCACTGAGATCTTCCGCATCCTGGTGGTGGCGGGGGAGGGAATTCATAACTGTGAGGCAAAGAACCAGCAGATAGTCTAGTCTCTCAATACAAAGCCCAGCTAGAATCACTTCCTCTTGGAAGCCTTCCTGAAGATAAACAGTCCCATAACCAACCCAATGCAATGTTCCTCTCCACCAGTTATACCAGAGTTTCTGAAGGCGAGGTGTGCAGACTATAGGTATCAACCTGAAGCAGCTGTTTTAAAATGGTGATTTCCAGGCGCCACCCCAAGTGCCCTGAATCAGGATCTTCGGGGGTGGAGCATAGTAATTTGTACGCCAGGAGATCCTAATGATGGAAAACACAGCCCACGAGGGAAACTTATTCCAAGTGGTAGACTGCTTTCTGACAGCCCGTTTCTCCTCTCCTCGCCAATTCAACACCCCTGGAGTGGCCAGGGCTCGCAGCCGCAGGGGAATCCCGGCCAGGCTGATGGCGCCGCCTGGCGGGGACCCAGGGGACGAAGGGAAGGAGTCCTACTCCACTTCCGGACAGCCAGGATCGCCAGGAGACCAGAAGCGCGACCTCCCCGGCGCAGCAGGGCAGAGGTGCGAGGTCTTGAGGCAGTTGGGCCTCGCTGGGACCCAGACGTCCGGATGGCTCTGCCTCCTCAGGTGGCTACCCGGCCTCCGGCTGGGCACCCTGACCGGGGTACGGGGCCCGCTAGACTGCGAGCTCTGAGTGGGGTGAAAGGGCCCCTAACTTCAGGCAAAAGCGAGCGCAAGGGGATTTGGGGAGACCCTGGCTCACCTTGAATGGCGCCCGGAAGTGCAGCGTCGGCGCCTGCGGTCTGGCACCACAGAGGTGCGTGCGCCGGCTAGAGCGACCCTCGGGGGTCCCGATCGCCATCTGCTGGCGCCTCCGAGGAAGTTCGGCAAGGAACGCAAGGCTGGCCAGAGACGGGAGTTTGATGGGAGAGTATAGTAATTTAGAATTGGGGGCAAGGCCCTAAACTAGAAGAGTTCAGGGAGCCACTGTCCATTCTTGGTTAAGACTAAGATGTAAGCCTCTGGAACCGAACTTAGCTTGAATCCTAGCCCTGCCACTCACTGTCATTATTGGGCATTACCCCATCTGTAAAATAGGGATAATATTTATTTCCCCTTTTGCCAAGCTGACTCCAACTGATAGATTTTATTATTCATCCTTTCCAAGGATGACTCTTACAACTCAGTAATAAGACAATCCAATTCAAAAATGGGCAAAGAGGCACAACATTGTAAATCTACTATATTTCAATTAAAAAAATTTTTTTAATGGGCAAAGGATCTGAATAGGCATTTCTCCAAAGGCTTTTTTTTAAGTTTTGACTGCGTTGGTCTTTGTTGCTGTGTGCGGGCTTTCTCTAGTTGCGGCAAGCGGGGGCCACTCTTCGTTGAGGTGTGCAGGCTTCTCTTTGCAGTGGCTTCTCTTGTTGCAGAGCACGGGCTCTAGGCACGCAGGCTTCAGTAGTTGCAGCATGAGGGCTCAGTAGTTGTGGCACAAGGGCTTAGTTGCTCTGCAGCATGTGGGATCTTCCCGGACCAGGGCTCGAACCCGTGTCCCTTGCATTGGTAGGCAGATTCTTAACCACTGTGCCACCAGGGAAATCCCGAAGAAAATATATGAATGAACTATTAACACATGAGAAGATGCTCAACATTATTAGCTATCAGGGAAATGCTGGAGATACCACTTTAAACACAGGAGGATGGCTATAATAAAAAAGATAAATAACAAGTATTGATGTGGGTGTGAAGAAGTGTGAACCCTCATAAACTGCTGTTGGAATTGAAAAATGGTGCAGCAGCTTTTGAAAAGAAGTCTGGCAATTCTTCCAAAGTTTAAACGTAGAGCTACCATATGACCAGCAATTCCTCTTGTGGGTATATACCCAAGAGAAAAACCTGTGGCCACGCAAAAACTTGCACATGAAGGTTCATAGTAGCATTATCATAATAGCCAAAAGGTGGAAACAACCCAAATGGCCTTTACTAATAAATGGATGAACAAAATATGCTATATCTATACAACAGAATATTGTTTGGCCAATTAAAAAAGGGATGACATACTACAAGTGGTTACATGCAACTACATGAATGAAACTTAAAAACATGCTCACTAGGGGACTTCCGTAGTGGTTCAGTGGCTGAGATTCCACGCTCCTGATGCAGGGGGCCCAGGTTCGATCCCTGGTCAGGGAACTAGATCCCACATGCCGCAACTAAAGATCCTGCATGCTGCAATGAAGATCCCGCACACGGCAACGAAGAGCCTGGGTGCCACAATTGAGACCTGGTACAGCCAAATAAATAAATATTAAAAAAAAAACATGCTAAGGGAAAGAAGACAATCACAAAATAGCATGTATTATTCCATTTAAATGAATATGTAAATCTAAAAATACAGAAAGTAAATTAGTGGTTGTCTAGGGTTGAGGGGAGAGAGGAGTGACTACTAATGGGTACAGGGGTTTTGTGGCAGGGTGGGGTTGGGGAGCAGTGATGAAAATGTTCTAAATTGTGATGGTTGCCCAATTCTGTGAATATACTAAAAATTATTGAATTTACACTTTAAGCAGGTGAATCACATTGTATGTGAATTATATCTCAGAAAAGCTACCATTTAAAACAAAAAACCTCTCCAATGGTTTCTCATCTCAGAGTAAAGCCTAAATTCTTGTAGTGGTTCTACATGGCTCTACAAATCTACACACTGACTCCCCACTTCCTTCTCTGATTCATCTAGCTGCCACTTTTTTCCTTAACTCAGTTCCATCCACTGTAGTTGCTTTGCTCTTCACATTACAAGGCAGCCATGCTCTGCCTCAGGACCATTTCCAACTCCTGTCAGCTTTACTCCCAGATGCCCAAATGGGCCGTCCCCTCCACATCTCCATATCTAAGCTTAAATGTATCATCATCAGTGAGGCTTCCTGTAACCCTCTACTTAATGTTACAGCCCCTCCTCTCAAGTTCCCCATCTCCCTTCCTTTATTTATTTATTTATTTATTTATTTTTTGCAGTACACGGGCCTCTCACTGTTGTGGCCTCTCCCGTTGCGGAGCACAGGCTCCGGATGCGCAGGCTCAGCGGCCAATGGCTCATGGGCCTAGCCGCTCAGTGGCATGTGGGATCTTCCCGGAGCGGGGCACGAACCTGTGTCCCCTGCATCGGCAGGGGGACTCTCAACCACTGCGCCACCAGGGAAGCCCTCCCTTCCTTTCTTTACTTCCTTCTCTAGTACAACTCATCAGCATCTGAAATACTATACATCTTATTAATGATTTATCCCTTCCAAATAGAATGTAAGCTCATTGAGGGTAGGGAATTTTGTTTTATTACTATATCCTCGGTGCTTGGCATATAGTTGGGATTCAATAAAATCATTAAATGGATAAATGAATAAATACTAATTCAGAAATATGTTGAAATATCCCTCCACCTTCATCCTCAAAGCCCCTTACCTATGTTCAGGCCTCACCACCCTCTCCAGGACCACTGAAGTAGGCTTCTTACTGTCCTTCCAGCCTCCCGTCTGTCCTTCAAATCCCCTGACCACATCGCAGCAGGACAGCTCCATCTGAAACTCTGATGTGATTACCTTAATCTTCTTAAAATTCTTCATGGGAAGGGAAAAAACCCTTCATGTCCCCTGCTCCCCAGATAAAGTCCAAACTCTTTCAGGACCCTATCTCCCTGAGATTTGGCCCCTGCCACATAGCCACACCCCCTAACACCCCACCCATCAGCCACAGAGAACAACTGTGAATACTCCAACTTCTCTGGAGCCGTGGGCCTTTGCATATTCCAGTCCCCAACCGTAGCCTGATGAAAGCATTGATTTTTACAGCCTGAGTCCAATGTCCGAGATTCATCACACCACCACCTGCCCCCCGGCACTTACCCCCCTTGGTGTCCATACGTTTGTTCTCTACATCTGTCTCTATTTCTGCCCTGCAAACTGGTTCATCTGTACCATTTTTCTAAGTTCCACATATATGCGTTAATATATTGTATTTGTTTTTCTCTTTCTGACTTACTTCACTCTGTATGACAGTCTCTAGGCCCATCCACGTCTCTACAAATGACCCAATTTCATTCCTTCTTATGGCTGAGCATTGAATGTTTTTGAATGAACGAATGAGTGTTCTCAGTCCCTGAGGACCCTTTGAGCACTACTCTACCAGGACAGTCCTCTTTCCCATTAAAAAAAAACAACACCTGCTCAAATTCACAGACCTACACTTAGCAAGAGGGGGGACTACACTCCCCAGCTGGCAGTTCAGTAGACATGTGGTTTAATCCTTTCACTGTATCCCACAGCTTCTCCTGAAGACAGGCAGGATGATTTCACTTTACATGACATTTAATCTTGCTCATGGAGGAATCAGTTCCCAAGACCCGACAGGACTGGAGGTGGCAGTGGTCATCCAAGGAGAACACCAGTGACTCTCCCAACTTCATTCCCCAATCAAAGAGGACAGTTTTGGTTTGCCATTGGTGAGTTTATTACGTGATTAAAGTTCAAATAAAAAAATAATAACCAAAATCTTGGCAGGGAGGCTAGAGCCAGAATCTGGGAGTGCTGCTTCCCTGTCCCCAGCCTCCCTGACCAAGCCCAGCTCCATTAACTCAGCTTGACTCGATCAAGTTCCTCATCAAGCCTTGCATCTGTGCTCTGGACATCTCTGCTGCTCCTGCTGGAGACTGAGTCCTGGGCTCCTGGCACCGGGGCTTTGGTGAGGGCCCCATACACACCCATGGCCTGAGAAGAGGGACAGAGAGAGAGCCATGATGACACATGGCAGAAGGCATAGCCCAACCCACCAACGGCTCAAAGGAAGAAGGCAGAGCCAGGGCCAGTAAGCTTGCTTTTCCTTTCTCTCTCTCAAGCCTCAGTCTTAAAAGCTTTGGAGTCGGTTCTAGGAATGTTACAAACCACCAGAGCAGGGTCACCCTCAAAATACTAATACAGGCATCTGCAAAAAAAAGAAAGGACAAAAAAAAAAGAAAGATGTCTTAAGAGGTTCCCTATTTCTAGGGATGAGTGGGGCTGTCTCGTTCAGGGGATGAAGAGAGGTGTAGGTCTCAGGGCACTCTAGAGGACTCGATGGGGAAAGTGATGGTGGTGGTGGTAGCGTCTCAGTCTCTGGCAATGGTGCTCTATGCTGGGTCTTCAGGGCGCTCTAACCTGAGCCACCATACTGGTGACGTCGCCAGGGTTGGAGGGCAGCAGGATAGTGTTGGAGTCCTTCGCCAGTTTAGAGAATGCGCTGACATACTGCTCAGCCACAGTCAGTGAGGCTGCTGCATCTCCATTCTGTGGCCACAGGGAAGATAAAAATCAGAGATCACAGACTTGGAAGGGGGGTGGGGGGGGCGGTGGGGGAGGAAAGGAAGTGGAGAGAAATCAGGTTCCTAGAAAGAGGATATGCAGATCACAATACAAGAGATCAATGGATGTGGCTCAATGGAACCAAAAAGGCAGGAATTTCTCCCAAGGGTAGATAAGAGAACCTCTTCTACTGCCAATTCCTGATCCCCGATCCCACCTAGGGGGTCTCTCACATGTTGTGTCAGAGCTGCAGCCAGGACGCGAATAGCTTCAGCTTTAGCTTTTGCCTTGGCCAGAACTGCACTGGCCTCTCCTGGAAGAAAAGAGACAGCGCTTGACCTATGAGGTCAGGGTACCCCAAAAGCTCCTGTCCCAGTACCAAGCCTCAAAGACCCATACCCATACTGAGGTTCATCACTCAGCCTCTACCCTCTGCTGACCTGCTGCCTGATTTATTTGTTCAGCCTTTTCTGCCTCAGAGGCCAGGATCTGTGCCTGCTTCTTCCCCTCTGCCACGTTGATGGCCGACTCTCGAGTCCCCTCAGACTCTAGAACTGTGGCCCGTTTCCGCCGCTCTGCCTCCACCTAGAAGCCCCCAGCAAGCCCCATCAACAAGAAACCAGAGTAAAAGTAAACTCTTACACAGACCTGCAATTGTACCCATCACAACAGGGAAGGGAGTCCAGGTCCCTATGCAACTGGAGCATCCTGAAGTACTCTACCTCATCCCTCTCTGGCCCCCACCTGCATCTGCATGGACTCTTTCACCCGGGGTGGCACATGGATATCCTTGATCTCATAACGGAGGCAGCGGATGCCCCAGCAGTCGGCAGCCTGGTTGATAGCATCCACGATGTTAGCATTCAGGGACTCCCGCTCCTGGAGGAAGAGAGGTGTAAGCTCCATGGCCTCAACCCAACCTTCAGGGGGCTAAACCGAGAGGGTCCTGGAACTGATCCCCAGAAAGGACTGAGAGTGCCAGGTATGTGTCTTCAAACCCTAACTCTGGCTCAGATCCCCTTACCCGGAAGACTTTGTCCAGAGAGAGTTTGCCGAGCTCTGATCTCATGGTTGTCTGAGCTAGCTGGGTGACAGCATACTCAGGGTCCTCCACACCATAGCTTGCCTGAAAGGGGCATGGATAGTGTCAGTAGCTTGCATGCAGGATTTTAGTGAGGAGAGCAACTCAGGAGCTGAATAAAGCAGAGGACAGATACCTTGTAAGGGTCCATGATGCGCAGGTAAAGGACTCCATCGATTTGCAGAGTTACGTTGTCTGTAGGTGCAGGAGCAGGAGAGAAACGAGGTCAGGCCTCCAGGTCCCAATCAGCTCTTTCTCCTGCAACCACATCCTAATGGCCTCAGAGCACCCATGTCACCCCGCACCCCTCACCAAGAGTCACGGCAGACTGCTCAGGCACGTTGATGACAATTTCCTTGAGACTCTGCACATATCGGATCCGGTCTAACACAGGGATGAGGATATTCAAGCCCTGGGAAGAGGAGTTACAGGTCTTCAGAAGGATGGGGGGCTGTAGGGTGGAGATCGAAGCTAGGCCTGGAGTGGGTAGGGAATCAACATAGATTCTGCCCAGAAAAACAGAAGGCTTGGGGTGTCACCGGTATGTAAGAATGTAAGGATAGGAATGTAAGGCTGGATCTCTGAATGGAAGGGACAGTCAAGGAGATAGGAGCCAGCAGAGTAGCCTTTTCCATGCAGACAGGTGGAGCTGACAGGATTAATAGAAGAGATTCTTAACGTGGGGCCTGTGGGAGGCTAGCGCAATGGGAAAAGGTGGTAAGATGGGTATGACCGTCAGCAGTCTGGGCCCTGCCAGGTCTGGCCTGGGGTGTCAGAAGCCAAAGGTGAAGGCAGGCCCCAACGAGGTCTCACCCCATTCCCCCATGTCGTGAGGGAATTGGGATTCAGGCTGGCCCGGGGTGGGCAGAAGAGGTTCTCACAGGCTCCAGGATGCGGTGGAATCGGCCCATTCGCTCCACCACCCAAGCCTCCTGCTGCGGCACAAACAGCACCACGGTGTTTCGGGGCAATCCAGAGGAGGCGCGGCGCGCAGCGCGGCCAGAAGCCTGCACGGAGCCCTAAAGGGAAGACGAGGATTAGCAGAGACCCAGTCGGCCGGGCACCCCGCCCCTCTCGGTGCCTGTCCCGGAGGCATGTCCCTAAACCGCGACTCTGAAGTGTTCTCGGAAAGGAACTCAGGCGAGTACCATAACCTCCGATCCCAGTTCTCTCCCCACACTTAGAATCTGGCCCCTTCCCAGTTGAAAACCCAGGTGATCTCTGGCCCGACCCTTAGAAAAGGATGCCTTGCACTCACCCTCAGCAAAAGGGCCCCAGACGCCCGCACCGAGCGCGCCAGCATTTCCCACTGCCACAGCGGCCTCCGGAACCAACGAGACGCGGAGCAGAGCGGTCGCTCTAGATTCCCGGACCTGAGCCTTTCCTCCCGTATTTCCACTCCCCCGGATGTATTTCCGGCCTTCCCTTCCCCCTTCCACATTCAGCCAATCAGCGTTACTCGGCAGAAACGTGCATCAAGTTGCTCGCTGGGAGACGCAGACTTTCTAGAGAGGGCTTAAGGCTGGAGCTTTTTCTTGTTCTCGCTGTTCAAGCCCAAGATCCCGAACACGGTGACCAAATGGAGGCTACTTTTCGCGTGCAGGTGTCCCAGAAAAGCTTCCCACAGAATTCTTTATCCCCACTGGAGACTCAGTTTACCCTTCTGAGCGTATAATCGCCCCCATCTTTCACCATAGCGACGAGCGATTGGAGCTGACTCATTGCTGTGGTTGCCATAGCGACATTCTCTGGTAGTCCTGCTGTGCTGTACCCAGCCCTCCCACTGGGGGCCGACTCCATTCCCGTTACCATGGTGACTGGGCCTAACATTGCCCGGTGATTGGACTGAGGTTTCCCCCTTCCCTCTTTTCCCAAGGCATCATAGCTTTTTCTTCCTCTACCCCGTCACGGTCTATCAGGCCAGGTTCCCTCGCATACAGAGTCCAGCACACAGCCCCAACATTCAGCCTTCTCTGGAGCATGTCACCCTGCACACATCTCCGATGCTCTGTCACATCCATTAGACTTGCACAGTCACCCTCATTTTACATATCAGAGCACTGAAGCTCAGAGGAGGTAAAATCAACAGAACCAGTGTAAGAATCCAGATCCGCGTTCAGAGTTCAGCTTTTACAGCAGAACCTTCCCCACCACACCACCCCATTACGTGAAAGGGGCAAGACCAGACCCTAAGAATCATGGGGCCTCCCCTAAGACTTCCCTGCCTCAGGCCTTTTTCCTGGGGAAAGGGCAGAGTCCCGGCTCTAGTTAGGCTCTCCATCCCCATTCCCATGCTCTCCTGAACAGAAAAAGTAAGGCTTAGTTCAAGTTTCAAACAAGAATTTATTCTTTCTTTCTTTCTTTTTTTTTAAAAAAAGTACCAGGTACAATTTTTTCCTGTTTTGTTTTTTTTTTCAAGTTTTAGCAAATGCTTGTTCCCCTCAGCCCAGTCCCAGGTATCAGGGCTAAGACTGGGTCAGAGTCTAGAGTGGGGAATGGGGTAGTTGATAACTACATGACTGAGTTTGAGGGGTGCCCCTCACCCCAACTGAGGTAGGTAGGGTCAGAGTCTGGCCAGGTGAGAGGAGGCACCCCAGTCCTTGGCCCTGACTCTGTCCCCTGAACACCTTCCTCAGTCAGGACCCCAAAGCAAGGAGACACAGGCAGAAAGAGAGGGACAGCCAGAGTCTGAAGTCCTAGATGAGGTGTGGTTGACCCCTGTGTGTGTGTGTGTGCCTGCACGCATGCTCTCTCTCTCACACACATACACGTACACAGACACACACAGACACACAGACACACACACACACACAAGTTGGCCTTCAGAGAGAGGTGAGAGGGTCGGGGAAGTGAAAGGAATAAGGAAGGACAGGGGAAGCTGAGTCTTTGGCTGGTGACTCAGTCCTTCCGGGATACTTCTCTGCTCTCAGCTGAGGGAGAGCAGTTCTCCTACAGCCCCCATATCAGCCTCTTCAACTCCTGAGGTTGGAGCAATATCTGAGAGTGGGAAAGGAGGAGGGGCAATGCCAATTATCAGGTTTGGGACATTACCAAGGCAATCCAATTTGAATAAATTATAAATTAAAATAAATAAAATAATAAGTGGCCCCTGCCCAGGACAGGGAGGCAACGCTGGCATGACTTGCCTGGGAACTTAGGACAACCTCAGGGTAGCTCCAGTTCCTCCCCACTGCCGCAGCTGGCCTGGGAAATCCAAGGGAGGGGGCAGGCACGTGGAGTACCCAGAGTAGGGCAGAGTGTGGTAAGATCAGAAGCTTTAAACACCCAAATAATCAGTTTGGGCATGAGCGTGGTGAGGGCTTTAATTCAAGCCTGAAGGGTCTCTCGCACCTCTCCACGTGTTTGCTCTGTCCAGGATGGAGGAGGATGGGCAGGTCCTTGGCCCACGTGGGTTCAGGGCACTGACAATCAGGGCAAAGGTGAATAACGTGGATTGCGAGGGGCCTCAGTCACAGCCTGCAGCTCGTAGGGGAGCCCTGTGTCCAGTTCCAGGCTCCGGCGGGAAAAAAGCAGGCGGATGTCTCCATGCAGGCTTAAGCGGCCTGAGCGGGAGCTCCGGAACCTGGGGGAGGACAGGGTGATCAAAGTAAGACCCCCAGACTATAGACAAGCAAGGAGAGATGCTATTCAGGGAGGACATGCCTGGGTTATGGAAAGGCTACCCAGGGCCCTGTCCTCACCTGAGGTGCAACAAGTAGCAGAGGAGGCGGCGGGTGGGGCTAGCATTTCCCTCCTCACCCACAGGCACCAAAAAGAGGCGATGACGCAGGAAGGTCATGTGGGCAGCAGGCATGTCCGAGAAGTCAAAGGTCACGAGGAACATCTTCACCACAGTCTGGTTGGGGTTAAATAAGGTCTGGGGACAGGAAGGGCAAGGTTGGTAGGGTCTAGGGGATGTTTTCCTGTCCCCACTCCCACTCCCCCTCAGGGAAAACTCACCACTTGGATGGTGCCCACCTTGGGCACACTGTAACCCTTCCTCCCCAGGGGGTTCAGGTCCACGACGCCCTGGGAAGGCCATGGAGCCATCAGACAAAGTAGGGTCTGGGAGATCCCTGAACACTCATCCATCTCCACAATCTCTCATTCTGGGACCTGGCCCCTGCCCTACACTAGAGTTCTCCCCACCTGGCTCTGACTCTTAGGCGATAACATCTAAAGAATACTTCCAGAGCAGTTCTCCTGGGTTCCCTAACTCTGCTGGTCTCCGCCCAGGGTGCCCTTCCCAATAAAGTCTTTTGCTTTGTCAGTTTAAAAAAAAAAAAGAATACCCCCTGCCCCCAAACCCTCATGCCCCTCATGAGCTAACTTTGGGTTGAGGTCAGGTCATACCAGGAAGGGAGCCGGGGCATTTTGCTCAGAAACATCAAAGAAGGTGACAGTGACAGGCAGCGTGACATGCTGAGGGCAGTAGGATCCACTAGCTCCAATCTCTGCTGTGAAGCCCTCAATGTGGCCAGATGGTGCAAAGCGTCCTCGCAGCAATGATTCCTGGGGATGAGGTGGGAAAACATATTATGAGACAGATGCTAGCTGTTTTCCTTACCCATCCAAGCCACACACACCACCATCCCTTCCCGCAAGATCCACCAATCAAGGAACCCAAGGGGAACTACCTCAAAGTTGCCCAACAGGGTACGGCTGACGGCGGGGGTAGGAACAGGGGAGGCACTGGGGGTGCTCAGCAGGCCTGGCCTCTTCCGGAGGCTTCGAAGGGAGCTCCTGGTAGGGGAGGGGACACACAAGTGGGTTGGCTTGAGGTATTCTGCTACGCTTGCTACTGTCCTTGGGCCCCACCATTTGCTACTACCTAGGGCTCCTTCCCTGAGGTCCCCCACCCTGGGGTTGGAAAAAGAATTACAGACATCTGCCCCATTTTCAGGGAGGGGCAGAAGGAGAAGCTGGTCACTTACAGCTTCAGGCGACAGGCACCTTTCAGCCTCCGCCCCATGGGACTGCAGTCTGTTGGGTCCTATGGAGAGGAAAGATTAGGGACAGAGATTGGGTGGAGGCCAGGTATGTTTGGAGCAGGGGCTCATCACAAGCTCTCATAGGAACATCCTCCCAAGCCCATCACCTTTCCCCACACAGAGGTCCACTTAAGAGCAGACCACTTCCTCTCCTGGCTTACCAGCACAGGCTCCTTGGGCCCAGGCAGCAGGTGGCTCCAGAAGGGTGTGGCTTTGGCATCAGAACTGTTGGCAGCAGGAGGGTGGCCCAGGGTTCCCCGGCGCCTCCGAGGGGCTGGCCCCTCATCCTCAGAGCTGACATCCGGGGCTTCTCCAGCTGGAAGCAGCCTTCGCTTGGTGGGGCAGGGGCCTGGAGGTCCAGGGCCAGGGGGTGTGTGCTCGGGGCTGTGCCCATTGGCAGTGCCAGGGGACTCCCTAGGCCAGGGGCTGCCCCCATTGCCCACCCCAGCCACTAGGCTCTTACCCCCTATTTGTGCAAGACTGTGCAAATCAGTGTCAAGTGTGTGCAGCTGGCCCGGAGGGGCTGGCCCTGGGGACTCCCCCAGGGACCCCTGTCCCCCAGGATGTGGGGAAGCCCAGTCTCTGGTGTGCAAAGTACTGCAGGAAGCATTTGATGGGGGCCAGGGGGGACTCTGGGCCCCTGAAGTCCGAGGTGAGGTGGAGCTACCTCCCTGTTCCACAACACAGAGGCCATGATGGCAGAAATGTTGGCTGGCCACGCCCAGTCCCAGCCCCAGTCCCTCTGGGCCCAATAGCCCCAGAGTAGGTGGTTCTTCAGGGGGTAGTCCCTCTCTGGCCCCCAGCCCAGGGCCTCTCTTCAGCTCCCGGGGACCCTCAGTGGGTGGGGCTGGCCGTTTCAGGGCCCTATGAGGCTCGGAGGCACCAGCTGGAGGGGAAAAGATGGATACCTGGTAGACCCCGGGGGATGTTGCCCCCCCCGCTGGGCTGTAGCCCATGAGCAGGCCACCCTGGAGGGCCCCCTGCCTGACTGCAGGCTGTGAAGGGCCAGCCTCTGGCTCTGAGGATGGAGACGGCTCCGCCTGCACGTGGCGCATGAAGCCCCCCCTTGGGTCAGGGGGGACCCCCCCCAGAGCCTTTATGCTGGGCCTGGGCTGGGGGGCCTGGGGACATCTGTGCAAGAGAAGAGAAGAAAAGATGGTCAGGGCAATCAGTGAATCATCTCCCTCCCAGGTGAATTTCAGATCCTCCCCTGGACTGAAGAGGTGAGCTTGTGAGGTTCCTGGGGGCGAAGGTGTCCCAATCTAACACCTTCAGATGGACTAATGGAATATAAAGGCCACTCGCAGAACTTCTGAGAAGGTGACACATTTAGCTCAGGTTTCTAACTGTACCTGCTCCCCCTCCCTCTCCCTGGCACTCACCCCGATAAAGAGGCCTTAAGCCTAGCTGT